TGCAGTACTTAAAGATGACTTGCAGGGTAGATTCTCATCTTTGTGCCACATTCAAGATGAGATATCAAGACTCTCCAATTTAGGTTCAGAAGGAGAGAAGATGGAGCTTATAAGCAAATATCAGGCCGCAAAGTTTCAAGGCGAGGTTCTCAACATGAAGCAAGAGAATAATAAGGTCAATGATGAATTGAAGGCAGGTCTTAGCCGTGTTAGAGGACTGAAGTTAGAGGTCGAGAAGACGCTAGCAAGACTTGATGAAGAACTTGGAATTTCCGTGGCATCAAAGAGCATTGAACCGAAACGCTCAACCAGTAAGGCTAGAATTCCCTTGCGGTCTTTCTTGTTTGGGGTTAAGTTGAGAAGGCAAAAGCCATCAATCTTCTCATGTGCCAGCCCAGCATTACAGAAACAACACAGCGATCTAGCAGCAGCTGCACCACCACCAGAACAACCAATGTAGATGATCAGTTATATTCTACTTTTATGTTTTTAGTTTTAAAATTCATTGAGGGATCAATCTTCTATGTTAGTCATGCATGGTACATTTGCAGACAGGAACCAGAGACAGGTTAATGCTGTAGTATTGTATTCTTTTTTTCTTTCATTATCTTGTATGATATTATTCAGAATCTTAAAATTTGTTTGGAAACTTCATCTTCCATCCAGAATTAAAATGCTTATGTGGATGTTAATTTATGCAAAGTAGGCTGCATACTAAAGAGATTTACAGTGCATCACAATTGTTGAATGTCAGTGCCTCCTACGTGGGGAAGCATCAGAAACGATAAATCATCTAGTTGTTTTTTGTTTTTTTATCACTGAGTTTTTCAAACATTGAGAAAAGAAATATCACTAGACCACGAACCACTTGGTAATAGATCATATTTCCGGTGATTACACAAGCTGTTTGCTTCATGCTAGGTATCTGTACCTTCCAACCATTTTACATTTGGAGATTTACTTCAACATCATAGTATGAAACTGTTTTTGCTTTAGGTATATGTTGCTTACAGTTGCTCACTTCTACTATGTCCCTCTCTCCCTCATTTGAGCAAGTAACTAATTTGAAAGCACTGCTAAACCTGCCCTTGGAAATATGTTGAAATGTTTTTTGCCCATGATCAACCTTTTTGAACAATTGGGCTAGAGCCTTCAAAACGCACTCTTATGCTTGTGTGGCCCAAATCAAATGTTTGAATTGAAAAAGCCCATATTTCTTTGAATCCTGCTTAAACCCTAACAAGTGAGAACGACCGTCCTCGCGCTCTGTGATCTTCACTCTCACTCTTACACTCCCACAATCCCTACTTCCCATTTCACACATTCAAAACCTTTGCCATGCCATCAATGGCTTACATTTCTCTCTCTAAACCCTTCCAATGGCGACCTCGACCCTCGAACCCTCAGACCCTCACGCTCCTCCGCCTCTTCAGCTCAACCGAAGCCGCAACCGGAGCCTCAACCGAAGCCCCAACCGAAACCCCAAACCCGCAAGATGGATCAGTGACCCCGACCCATGTCCCAAAAGCTAGGCAGCATCGAACTCCAAACCCAGAAAAGATAGAGGACATCATCTGCAGAATGATGGCGAATCGGGTCTGGACGACCCGGTTACAGAACTCGATCCGGAATTTGGTACCCGAATTCGACCACAACCTTGTGTGGAATGTATTGCACGGCACTCGGAGCTGGGAGCATGCGCTCCAATTCTTCAGGTGGGTTGAGCGATCCGGGTTGTTTAAACACGACCGCGAGACCCATTTGAAGATCATTGAGATTCTGAGCCGAAATTCGAAGCTCAACCATGCCCGGTGTATTCTATTGGACATGCCCAAGAAAGGTGTGCGGTTGGACGAGGACCTCTTCATTGGGCTCATTGATGGCTATGGTAAGTCTGATAAGGGTTGCATTATTCAAGAGTCTGTTAAGTTATTCATTAAAATGAAGGAATTGGGTGTGGAGAGAAGTCTCAAGTCCTATGAGGCTCTGTATAAGGCTATCATGCGTTGGGGTCGGTGTATGATGGCCAAGAGGTACTTTAATGCCATGTTGAGTGAGGGAATAGAGCCCACTAGGCATACTTATAATGTTATGATTTGGGGTTTCCTAAAGAGCCGGAAGTTAGAGACCGCCAAGCGGTTTTTTGAGGATATGAAAAGTAGAGGAATTTCTCCTGATCTTGTTACTTATAACACCATGATTCATGGGTACATTCGGGTTGATAAGATGGATGAGTCTGAGCAGTTGTTTGTAGAGTTGAAGGGGAGGAATATAGAACCTAATGTGATAAGTTATACCACCATGATTAAAGGGTATGTTTCTGTTGGGAGAGTTGATGATGGTTTGAGGTTGTTTGAAGAGATGAAGTCTTTTGGTATTAGGCCGAATGCTGTCACCTTTTCGACTTTACTGCCAGGGCTTTGTGAGGCAGAGAAAAAGAATGCAGCTCACAAGATATTAATGGAAATGGTTTCGAAGTATATTTCTCCTATGGATAATTCAATCTTTGAGAGATTGTTATCTTTACAGTGCAAGTCTGGGGATATGGATGCAGCTGCTTATGTGCTCAAGGCAATGATTCGGCTGAGAATTCCTACTGAGGCTGGTCATTATGGTATCCTGATTGAAAACTTTTGCAAGGCTGGGGTGTATGATCACGCAGTCAAGTTGCTGGATAAGCTTATTGAGAAAGAAATTATTTTGAGGCCTCAGAATTCTATTGAGTTGGAGCGTAGTGCTTTTCACCCAATGATTGAGTATTTGTGCAACCATGGGCAGACAGGGAAAGCTGAAGCCTTTTTCCGGCAGTTGATGAAAAAGGGTGTTGAGGATTCAGTTGCCTTCAATAATTTGCTCCGTGGGCATGCAAAAGAAGGGAATTCTGATTCTGCTTTTGAGATTTTAAGGATCATGAATAGGAGAGGGATCCCTGGAGAAGCAGATTCTTACATTCTGCTCATTAAGAGCTACCTGAGTAAAGGTGAACCAGCTGATGCTAAAACTGCTTTGGATAGTATGATTGAAGGCGGGCATTTTCCGGAGTCATCGCTGTTCAGGTCAGTGATAGAGAGTCTATTTGAAGATGGGAGGGTTCAAACTGCAAGCCGAGTAATGAAGAGTATGGTAGAGAAGGGGGTGATGGAGAACATGGATTTGGTTGCCAAGATTTTGGAAGCCCTCTTTATGAGAGGTCATGTTGAGGAAGCACTGGGACGAATTGATCTCCTTATGCAAAGTGGGTGTGCACTTCAGTTTGACAGCCTTCTATCTGTTCTTGCTGAGAAAGGGAAAACAATTGCTGCTCTCAAGCTGTTAGATTTTTGCCTTGAGAGAGATTGCAGTGTAGATTTCTCAAGCTATGATAAAGTGTTGGATGCTCTCTTAGCATCAGGGAAGACTCTTAATGCATACTCAATATTGTGTAAACTAATGGAGAAAGGAGGGATCACCGATTGGAGTAGCACTGAGGATTTGATTAAGAGCCTAAATCAAGAGGGTAACACAAAACAAGCTGATATCCTCTCCAGAATGATGAAGGGAGGAGAGAAAAGCAGTCAGGGAAAAAAAGGGAAGAAACAAGCTTCTCTTGCTTCCTAATTTGCCATATCTCCATAATTTCTGCAAGCCTTGCAGGATGGGTTGCGGGACACCCTGAAAATCACTGGAAGAAGTTGCCCATTGGTAACATTGAACTTCTTAAACTCCCTTTTTTTTCTCCTGGGATGGATGCTGTGCATTTAAGAACAACAGGAGGGACAGTGCTCAGTCAAAGTGATACTAAGCCGGATTAGATATTAGCATGTAGAGTAATTAGGGAGCTTGGTTATATGTTCCAGCGACCATCTATTTTGCTCTTTTCTCTTAAAATTTTGGGTTAGTCTAAATTTTCCCTTTTATGCCCTCTTTCATTGTCACCAAATTCAAATAACACAGGTCCTGTTTATAATTCTGCTGTTGTTACTGTATTCTCAAAATTGATGTGCCATTGTATTGGGAAGTGATCTGTCACTTTCTCTTTTTGTGGGCAAACTGTGTTTGGTAGCCAGATGGATCATAAAGAACACAGGTCCTGTTTATAAAAATATGCATCCCTTGTTGTTTACTTGTTCCCATCCATTCCATTATGAATGCATATATTTAAATTGATCGATGTCATGCTGTCAGTTAGAGTCGGGATTGGAAATTGATTTCTGGTTACTGTGAATCTGAAAAAAGATAACTTAGAATGATTTTTCTTTCTTTCTTATTGCACACTTTACCTGCCAATCTTCACGTAGAAAGCTGTCTGCAACACCTAATTTTCTTGGCTTACAGATCCAAGTTCATTTAGTTGACATGAAGAGGTTTTTGTTAGGATCACCTGGATTCTACTACTATTTTGTCTTCCTGTGAAGGAATGAATTTTAGCCTAGCCTAATATCGATCTACTGGAGGGTGAATAAGGCCTTGAAATTTATGATTCCATTAGAAGCTGGTCGTCAGTTGAGAAATGCTACGACTTTTGTTGGACATCTCTGTAGTTTTAGACCTGAACGAGTAGTTGCCTGCGGATAAGAAAGTTAAAGAGGACTTTCGATCAAACTAGAAATTTCATAAGAGGAGATCTCGTAGCGTAGAAAAGAAAGGAGAGATCGTTTTGATTCGAGGTGGATCCCTGGCAACTTGAGATAGTTGCAATGCCGAAGGAAAAGTAAGGACAATGAGCCATTGTCATGGTCTTGCGACTGGTTTGGATATGTACCATTGTATACAAGAGTATACCAACATGTAGTGGAAATCGATGGCTAATGTATGCACCCTACGTGTTTCACTTGTACTAACACAGCCCTTCAAAAATTTCTAGGGAAAAAGACTTCCACCCTTTTTCTTTGTTCTTATGAAATCTTAATTTCCGGAGTAAATATCTTAGCTACAACGGGACCTCCCCTTTATACAAATAAAAAAACCACCCAATTTAACAGGAAGGTCAACTTGAATACTGTAATGCACTGCAGACCATCACCATTCAAAATTAACATAGATTTACATCATTGACAAATAATATCAATCCATCGTTCAACTGTGATACTATCACCATAAAAAACTGACAAGAATTTACATCATTGACAAAGATTTTACACCACAAAAACCAACTAGCTCTTAGTCTAGTGGCACTTCTCTTCCTGATATTGGAAGATGTTCCAAGTTCCAATCCCCTTTCCCCCAGTGAGAAAAAAACAACGTAAAAATTTACACCACAATCGTCACAAGATACTCTAACCTTCATGTTCCCCATTGATCTTAATGCCAGCCTCCTCTTTGCTTAAAACATGTTTTCCATTGCATCCATCTGTTACAGTGCCCAGAAGATCTGTCTGCTTCTCAGTTGTGCTTGGTTTTTCAGAACTATCAACTGCAGATGGATCACCACCTCCTATGAGCGAACACACAACCTCATTATCTTTTGCACTTTGTCTCTGTTCACCTTGTACACTTATGACAGCTTTATGATGAGTCTCATCTCTCTCAATGTTCAATGAACTAACAGGATTCTCAGCATCAGTTGATAAAATTTTCAATTCAGCTTTCTGGTTAGGTGAATCCACTTTGTCATCTTTAACTTGCTCATCCTGTCCGTTCCTAGAGATAACTGCTTCATCTTGGGCCAGCACTATTGGAGTGCATCCCAACTCAGCAATTACGCTTCCTTCTTCAGTCCTAACCACTTGCTTTGATGGAAGTTTGGCATCCAGGCTACAGCTCACACCCTTAATCTGTTTGGATAGCAATGTGCCATTAGTTGGAGTGTGCTGACTCATCAGAGGGAGAGCTTTTGAAGACCCAGGGTGTACGGCATTAGGTGTGACATCAGTTGGTGGAGGGGTGGAAAGTGTTATACCAGCTAAGCCGGTACGCATATGTAAATTAGGATGAGGCTCTGAGTGGGTAGACATACCACGAGGTAAGGACGATTGGATAGAAGAACCGCCTGTAGGCATGATATGGACAGCATTCTTTGCCTGAGCAGCCTTGAGCAGTGATGCAGCATCTGAAGGAGAAGCAATGCGTGCCCCAGCAGCAACTGCAATGGCTCTTACTATATCATCATCATTGCAATTAGGTTTTGTTAAGGTATTCTTGGAGGTTATTCGAGATTTTGTCGTGGAACCCAATAATTCCATTTGATATGGTTTTTTTGTTGGTTTAAGGTCTTGCTGAGACTGCGGTTCTGCTTTAGCACCAGTAGTAAGCAGAGAGTTGCTAGTTGCAACTTCTCTAGCAAACTTATTGTGAGCATTTGTTCCAGCTGTTTAAGAGTAAGGAGAAAACAAGATATAAATAAACATACATAAGTACCAAAATAAATTTTAAAAAAATATCAATTAAAAATCAGAGTACATAAATCAGTCAGAAGGTTCACATTTATTTCAGTTTGGCTACATCAGCTTTGGTCCATTCTAACTTAGGTGCCAAATTTTTCAGTGAAGATTTCCAAATGGGGAAACAAATCCTGGTTAATAAAATCCCAATCATAGGAAAGTGAGCCTTGGATACTACAGCAGCTACAATATTAAATACATTGCTTGACAGGTGAAGCACTTCCATATAAATTGAAAAAAAAAATAAAAATTTGGCTCCTTTCTTACCTGTTAGGAGCTATTTTCTTTGTGCTTTTAATGAGTCATTTTGTACATGTCAGATCTGGTCTGCAGGTGAGAGGGAATTGGCTCCTTACAGGTAATAAGCCAAGCAGTGTTCTAAACTAAAATGGTAACGATAAATCTTCTTTAGCATTAAGAAAGACTAGGAAGTCTTTTTTGTAAGACTTTCAAAAAGTCCTAGTCTCTAACAATACCGTTCAGTAATAACGAAAAGTATCCATCTTGTCCTTGACCTTAATGGAAGCTGCCACTATATTAAGGAGGAAAAATGAAGTTTAAAGGTAGGACTTGAGGGTCCCCTAAAAATATGGCAGGACTTGTTTGGTCCTTTAGAAGCAACATATGAATTATTAGTACTTTTCTGTAAATTGAAAACAGCATAATGGAGGAGAGAATCACCAGTGCCAATTGTCTTAGCTGTTAGGTTTGGCATATTGAGGGCTACGGACAATGAATGACGAGCGGCCAACTGTGCTTCTGAAAGTTTACCACTCGAGTTGCCTCTCAAATTCAACTCTTGATTCCTCTTCTTAATAATTGCCCACCTCTGTAATATACACTCATCAAATTAGTAGGAAAAATCATTGGTGCAAATTCATACCTCCAAACACAACAAAAAGAAAAGAGTAAAAGTTGGAGCACAGGTCGAGTTTTAAATTAAGTACCCGCTACCTCAGAAATAAATAAATAAAACAAAAACAAAGAGAAGATGGCAACAAATTATTTCCAAAAGGTAATAGCAAATTTTTAATTTTTATGTTTAACAACCCTCATACTACATGATTCACAAGATTTTCATATGTAGGTTACAAGAAAATCCGTTGCCGGGATTTGAACCCGGGAAAACTGGGTAAAACCCAGGCATCTGACCGAACTAGATGACAACAGATTGCTGTAGTATTATGGTCTCTGGGCTTCCTTTACATTATAATCATTTCATTATTTATAAACTCCCACAAAATGGTCTACCCTAACCAATCAAAATTTTGCAATCATGAAAGGCACATTGCAAACAGTTTCTCATGTTATGTTCTATAAGTTCTCTTAAAAAAAACTTATAACTAATGAGATTAAAGACTTGATTTACCCCTTGATAAGTCTACCACAATAGATCACATTCACAAAATTTTATCTAAAGAATAACCATAGAATGTACGTCCTCAACCTAGGTTTTCCTAACATTAAATAAGATAACAGAAATTCTACAATTTTCCTTATACCAGCACATTGACGCATGTGCTACACATGAAATATAGAGTATAACAAAGAAGTGGCGTAATGTTATACTTTTAATGGTCGAATAAAAGAAGACTAGATTGAAAAGAAAACACAATCAGATAATCAAATGGCATAATGCTCCACTTTTATTTCATTTTTAACGCCATTTAAGAGTGGTCTACTTTCCACTTGAAATATTTTTATGCTAATTTATTTCCTTTTTAAATGGCATTTCAAAGTTAGTTTTAAGTTTCTAAAGTCTTCTTCTACTCTTTAATGATCTTCAGTATTTATGGAAGTCATTTGTTGTTCTACCTAAGCTTATTAAAGGTTAGCTCTCGTAAAGCAAATTTTGATGAATGAAAATTAATTATTGCTGAAAGGTTTACTGCCTTTAAGGCTGTGTCTTCATATCTCCATCTATACCTTCTCCTTATTTATCTATTTCTCTGCAATACAGCAACCCCGGATTATCTTTTTGTTCTTCTTTTCTGTAAATTTCTTCTGGTTACTCAAATTTCTCTCATCAACCCACCATAATCATAAGCAGCACAGAGCTTATGTGGTCCCACATGACATGGTGCATTTGTATTCTTCTCTTCTGAGGAAATTCTTATGTCAATTTGGATGCGTCAAATTACAAGGTATAATATAGAGAAGAAAATGAAAAAGTAACTGAAAATCCAAGAACAAGCACCTAAGTTTCAAGAATCACTTGGGGTAACAGAAAACAACCTGAGATAGCTGACCAGCTGTTCTGTCCCCTTTGAAATCTGCTCTTAAGATATTTGCCCAATTTCCTTCACCACATTTCTGCACAGCTGCAATTAATTCAAAATCCTCAGCCTCTGACCATTTTTTTCTTTTCTTTCGAGGAGCCATGCTATTGCTAGCCGATCCATTTGCATCACCTCCATCAGCAGTTGCCACTGACGACATTGTTGCAGCAGGAAGGGGTTGTTTTTTAACAGAAACCGGAACTGTAATGTTCTTCCCTTGCATTGAACAAGTTGGTTCTGAATTTTCATGAGTTCTAGATGGCTGGCCATTGGGTATATTTATGGTCAATGGAGCCTCTACCGTTGTGCCGTTTCGATGACTTGAGTCACTTGGTAAACCAGAGGCAATTAGAACCTAACAAAACAACCACTCAAACAAGATAAGTTGGCTAGATCAGTGAATTAATAAGGTCAAAACAATTGAGATAGTATAAATATTCATAAAAACACGTCCACATATGTGTAACCCGTGATATACCAACCTAGATCGGGAAGACTCAATAATGTTTCATGTTCTGCCACCTTGGCGTGGACCAGAAGTTGGGACAAAACGGATTTAAGTTGAAACCTATGCAGACTCTAAACTAAACACAGCTAATATGAGGCCAACTTCATATAGGAAATGCCGACTGTATTAAAGTGAAACCTTTTAAACACAGTTACAATATACCGAACTACCATTTGAATTCCTGTGTGCATGATTCACCATTCCGCTTGTCCATTAATTGAGGCCATCTTCCCCAGCTAATGAGCAAATGTCAACAAATTTATTCCAATAGGAACCCAAGTTTTACAATCTCAAAAAAGACTTTTTAGTCCAAAAATAAGTTCCACAGTAATTGGCTGGGATATTAATATTTAATTTATTCAAGTTCATTGTGTCAAGGTTTGAATTATTTCATTGCTTGACATGAGCTTTAACAATGGGCCATGCATCCTTCTACTTGGTAGTTTCTAAGATTTGTTACGGTGATGGGCATCAAAAGTTGATCTTTGAGTTAATTTTCTGTGCCAATTAGGAATCTAGGTCAAAATCCTACTACTATTAGGAAAAGCTAAGAAAGTATATAACTATCTATATAATCCTATCAATTAGTAGAGTCTTGATTAATGAAACTAAGGTTTGGTTTACTGAAGCAATATGTTTCCCTTTTCAAAGTTATCATTCACAAACCATGAACAGCAAAAATTTGAGTGCTTTTCTTGTATTCTTGCAACTCCAAATCAGGATTTCTTTTAAACCAATTAAACTGTAAACCTGAAATTTCTTCTAGATCCTCTTTTTTTCCCAAATAGCTTGTCAAATAAATGCTAGAACCCTAAAATTAGCCACTCCACAGTAAATTCCAGTAAGCGATTTTCCTCTTGGAAGCTACCCCATATTTTCTCTGCTTATCTCACTCTTACAGATCCATTAACTTAACCCAACCCAACATATAATCAAACTTAAGGCCAGTTATCTAACCTGTCCAACGTCAGTATTACTCTTTTGACTTTAAATTTTAATCAGTATTTTCTTACTTTTTGTAGCCAGATATGCATAAATCAGACACAGAAGTTACTATCATTTTCTGAAAACCACCTTAATCCAGTATTTGTAATCCTGGACTACCTCTTGATGTTGGTAACATGCTTCCTCCAACTTCTGAACACTAAATCTAAATATTAACTTGCTAAATTCTTGCAGGAGTGAAATATCTCTGTAAAATACTCAAACTGGGAATGATAAAAAGGAGATTTTCCAAAGAAGCAGCATAGCCATTTGGTTTTCCATACAAAACAGACAAAGTAGCTTCAACTGGGAACTGTAATTAAAGTCAACAGATCATCAGGCATGAAACACTCCATAACAAGGGTTCACCTGGAAGATCTGAAATAAGAAACCTAAAGCAAATCATTTATTAAGTATGAAATTATTTTTTTATACCTTCACACATGCTGCAGCTTCTGTTGAAGCTTCACCACAAACAGCAGGAAAAGCTTCCAATTCATATTCTAAATCACTATCATCATCCTGCCAGCGAAATTTAACATCTCTCACAATATGGAAAAGGAAAATGTACGTGTTATGTCCTTTGTTCTCCTTTTGCACTATAATACAATTTCTTTTTAAAATGCACACTAAACAAAACAAAAAAAATCAAGTGCTGGGTGAACTCAGAAAAAAGCTAGGTTTAATAGAAAAACCCTATTTATGCAATTTTATCAACTTAAAACATTATGTAAAAGAATGCAGAAAACACCACAAACTACAATTCATGAGGGGGGAAAAAAAAGAGGGAAACAGACCAAAGGTTGAGACCCATTGTCGAATTTGTCAACAAGAGCTTCCCGATAAGCTAAATGGCGCCAAAGCATCTGATACTCTTTGGCATTGGAGATCCCAGTTGAAGTCTTTGCCACCAACCGAATCCAATCAATCTTCGCCGCCGGCCAATGCGCCACTTCCTGTAGCAATGCCAACACAGTCGTTGCCGTGTACCTGCCCTTTAAAAAACAAAACCGCCCATTAAACCCAATTCACTATTCAAAAAACTTGCACATATCCAAAACGAAAAAAACCATTAAACCCAATACACAGGAACTCACAATAGATAAAAAAGGGAGATGATTTTGGCACTCTAAATATCACTTCCAATACTCCTCAACCCAAGAGTGCCAAAATCATCACAAACACACACATACTGAAATAAATGAGAGGAAAAAGAGGGACCTTTGTAAGAGAGTGGCTGTATCTTCTTCGGTGATAGAACATTTCTTAGGGTCTTTGGTTTTCTCAACCATGGTTTTGCTTATAGTGAATTTCAGATTGCATATTATGAAATATGACAAGCCAAATTAGCCAATGGAAAGCTTTAAGGAACAAACTTGAGTGGTTTAGCCAAAACCCTAAACCGTACAAAGGGGTTTTAGAGAGAGAGGGCTTTGACCGGAAGAGAGAGAGAATGAGAGTAGGAGGGACAACAGAGGAGAGTCAAAGAGCGTTGAAGAGCACACGCACCTAGGGGTTATTTGGTTGAGAGAGAGAGAGAGAGAGAGAGAGAGAGAGAGAGAGAGAGTGACACTCTCTACACTCTCTCTAGTCCAGTCAGAAGAAAAAGCTTCTATAATCTATTGATGGTATTGGGAGAGTTGTTTGTCCCGTTTTTCTTTTCTTTACGTATACATTTTTTAGTCAATGCGGTTTCGCCCATTTTTCAGTAATTAAAAAATATGCATTTTCTTTTATTTTGTCATTATGACTCCTTAAGCACAAGTGATGTCTCTTCATGCAACAAGTGAAAATGCATAAAATGCTATACAGCGAGGGATGATTAGTCAGCGGATTATTGGGCTAGTTCAATTGTATAGGTAAGATCATACATTGTACTCTCTTGCCAATCAATATAAAGAAGCTTTTGCTCAATCATTGTTACCTCGTGTGTTGCCTTGTGAGATTGTTCTCTTTACAACTATTTTATGTGTTGCCATTTATTATTTGTTGCTTGCACAACATTAATTATTGTGTGTGAATTTGTTGCATATAAGGTACTCATTGGGCTGACTTGCTACTCATGAGTGTCGCACGGTCCGTTGTAACTTGCAAATTACTTTGGTCCAATGCTTGATGTCCTAGTGCAACTACCTAAACAGTAACCTTTTTTTTGTTTGTTCGTACTAATGGCGAGCCCCTACTTTTGCTTGTCCCCAAAAGTTTAATCCGCAGGGTGGGACTTTCTTTTTCTTCTTCTTGACTTGACTCAACAACCCTATGACGGAGACGGAATGAATCGCATGTGTTGGTTGAGAATTGCTTGGAGTTGCGAAACTACGTAGGGCCTTTTGAATTTGCAAAGAGGGACTCTCCCTTTCTATTAGAACAGCTCCATAGCAACTGGGGATCAAAAAACACCAATTTTGGTCTCGTGGTTCATTAGACCAAAAGGCTTTCAGTGAACTGTTACAGTCTCTTCTCCATTGGAGGTCTAAAGCCCCGTGGGCCTGATGGTGTGCCTTCTAGTTTTTATCAGCAATCCGTGACATCCTGCATGCTCAAATGGAGAACGGGAGGGCTATCTTTACGCGGCAAACCCAACCTCAAATAATTCAACATGAAGCTCAAAATGAATTGAATAATGTAATGCAGTGCAAGAACGCCATCACCATCCAAAATTTACATCATTGACAAACACTATCCATCCACCCTAAAATTACCAAAAGATTGTTTTAAGAAAATTTACACCACAATCTTTACAATATACTCTAATCTTCATCTTCCACTAGATCTTAATACCAGTCTCCTCTTTGCCTAAAACCTGTTTTCCATTGCATCCATCTCCTACAATGCTCACAAGACCTATCTGCTGCTCACTTGCACTTTGGTTTTCACAACTGTCAGCTGCAAATGGATCATCACCTTTGAGTGAACATAAAGTCTCATTATCTTTTGCACTTTGTCTCTCTTCAGATTGTACACCTATGCCAGCTATATTATCAGTGTCATCTCCTTTGATGTCCAACGAACCAACTAGATTCTCAGCACTAGTTGATAAATTTTTTAACTCAGCTTTCTGGTCAGGTGAATCCACTTTATCCTTTTGACCTTCTTCATTCTGTCCATTCTCAGAGATAACTGCTCCATCTTGGACCTGCTCTGTTGGAGTGCAGCCCGGCTCAGAATCCAGACTACAGCTAACATCCTTGATCTGTTTGGATAGCAATGTGCTATTAGTTGGAGCGTGCTGACTCGTCTGAGGGAGAGCTTTTAAAGACCCAGGGTGTGTGGCATTGGGAGTGACAGCAGTGGATAGAGGGGTAGAAGCTGGCGTAGCAGCCAAACCCGTATGCATATAATGTAAATTAGGATGAGGCTCTGGTTGTGTACGCATGCTACCAGGTAAGGACGATTGGATAGAAGAACCACCTGTAGGCAAGACATGGACAGCATTCTTTGCCTGAGCAGCCTTGAGCAGTGATGCAGCATCTGAAGGAGAAGCAATCCGTGCCCCAGCAGCAACCGCAGTGGCTCTTACCATACCATCAGTATTGGAATTAGGCTTTGTCAAGGTTTTCTTGGAGGTTAATTGAGATTTTGATGTTGAACCCAATAATCCCATTTGATATGGCTTTGCTGGCTTAAGGCCTTGTTGAGACTGCAGTTCTTCTTCAGCAGCAGTGCTAGGCACAGAGTTGGTAGTTGCATTTGTTCCACCAAATTTACTGTGTGTATTTGTCCCAGCTGCTTAAAAGTAAGAACAATGCATGTTATTTATTCACATTGATAGCTACTAAAATATATTTTATAAAATTTTATAAAATCATTATTTAAAAATTAAAAAGACGTCAGAGGTTCACACACAATTGTTTCAGTGACATAGGTGCCAAATAGCACCCTTCAATGAAAGAGGTGATGCATGATGCATCCATGGAAAGTCAAGATTTCCAAAAAGGGGCGCACACACACAAAAAAAATCCTGGTTAATAAATCCCAACACTAGGAAAGTGCGCTAAAGATAATGCCGCAGCCAGAAAATTTAAAGAGATTGATAGATTAAGAACTTAAATATAATCTAAAAGGGTAATGATGAGCAAGTAATATTTTTGTAAGATTTTCGAAAGGTCCTAGCCTCTATACTGTTCAGTAATCATGAAAAGTATCCATCTGGCGCTTGACTTGAAGGGAACTTGCTATTGGGGAAAAAAAGTTTTAAAGGGAGGACTCGAGGATCCATTGACCTCTTGGTCCTAGTTGAAGGAGTATAAGAATTATATCTACTTTTTTGTAAACTAAAGAACAGCATGGAATTAGGAGAGAATCACCTGTGCCAATTGTGTTAGCTGTTATGCTTGGCATATTCAGGGCTAACGACATTGCATGGCGAGTTGCCAACTGTGCTTCTGAAAGTTTATTACTAGAGTTGCCTCCCACATTCAAGTCTTGATGATGATGCTTCCTAATATATTTCCACCTCTGTAATACAAACCACAAAATTAGTAGGAAAAAAAGAAGATTAGTGCGCATTCATGCCTCCAATGACAACCAGAAAGAAGAGTCAGAGTTGGAACACACGTAGAGTTTGAAATGACTGTCCACTACCTTGGTTCCAAAAGATAAAACAAATTCTTGTTTAGCAAGTTTACAACAAAATATTCGTATACAGGGAAAAAGAAAATCCGTTGCCGGGATTTGAACCCGGGAAACCTGGGTAAAACCCAGACATCTGACCGAACTAGATGACAACGGATTGTTGTAGTACAATGTGTCTCAATGTTTGAATCCACTGCAATTTTGCATCAGTGAGAAAACTCATCAGTGTCATCTATGCATACTTGTGTGCAATTACATTTATTTGACAGCCGTAGAATTAGGATTTCACACAATTCCACAGCCTAGCAGAATCTTTAGAGTTCATGCTTTGTTCAAATTCAGCTAGTTTTTGATAATATACATCAATCAATCTCTAAGTTTATTATATATACTAGCACATTGACGCAACACATGCTCTCCAGAACCATACAAAGAAATGGTATAACGTCATACCTTTACTGGTCACATAAAGGATGATAAGTTTGTGTCGAAACACAATCAGATAATTAAATGCTAGTAAGTCCAAATTCCAAGGATGCCCTTAATATTACAATAAATTTATGTAATTCTTTTTTGAATCTCCAACCCCTCCACTACCATATGACAAGTGGACTACGAATTCAACAATATAAACAGAAAATATCCAGGTGTGAATACTCAAGTTCATGTTTTTATTGAAAGAATGCTCAAGTCCATGTATTCAAAGAAAGAATACTCAAGTCCATTCACTTCACTTTAAATGAAGAAATCGAGGGGCTTTTCTTTTCCAAAATAAAAATTAAAAGTAAAAGGACCAAAGCCACGAGCTAAGTCAAACTCTAGGTCATCTATACTAAAAAGTTCTTTAAAAGTAAAATGTAAAAAGGAACCTCAAGTATATAAGAATGTAAATTTATTAATTCCCCTCGGAGTTACTTTTCCTAAATAACTACCCTCTTGTACTCACGGATAGTACTCTCTAGTGCATGAGTAACAAAAGAAAGATTTCCACCTGTTCATGCTCGATAACCTAGTTTAATAAAATTTTCTTCTTTCCTTCTTTCATTTCAGTCAGAAAAGCAAAATATGGATGCTACTAATGGCAATTAACCACTTACCCCAATGTTAGAATTCAGCCATCTAAATTAGTATTATAATTGAACACTAGGCGATAGCATTTTCCGTATGTAAAGACTTATGAAAACTAAATGATCTGAATTCAACCCCAACGGACTTCTTCAAATGGTAAAAGAATTTTCTTGTTAGTTACAAACCTTATGTCCCAATAAAGGGCCAAAACAAGGCATTTCCCAGCTTATTCAATAAGAGCAGTTGACTTTGGACTCTAAATATCTTTATGATGACCTATTCCATCCTAAAATGTCATTTATGCTTCAGTCTATTTCCCAGCTTTCAAATGTCATTTCACAGTCAGTTTTAAGTTTTCTACGAGTCTACTTCTACTTGATGAGTCTTTCAGTATTATCACGTCATTCGGTGCACTATCTATGCTCATAAAAATTAGCTCTGGTAAAGAAAATTAGATTTTGATGAAAGGAAATTGTTACTGAAACGTTTACTGCCTTGAAGGCTTGGTGCCTTGATATTCCCATCTATACTTTCACCTCTTTGTTCTACTCCTTGTTTATCTCTTTCTCTAATTTGTCCGCAATTACAACCCTAGATTTTCCTTTTGTTATTCATTTCTCTAAACTTCTGGTGATTACTATAACTTCTGCCATCAACCAACCATAATCATAAGCATCACGATTATGTTGTTCTGCATGACATGGTGCCCTTTTTTCTTTTTTTCTTTTTTGGTGTGGAGGAATTCTTTATGTCTTTGGATGCATCAAATTACAAGGTATGATGATGTTAAATAATAACAAATGAAAACAGGAAAGAACGTGGAACCACAAACATGAAATGACAACAGGAGGAGAAGCTAATAAGAGAGAAGTCACAGAAAAACCAAGAGCAAGCATGTAATTTTCAAGAATCGGTTGCGGAGACAGAAACACACCTGAGATAGCTGATTAGCAGTTCTCTCCCCTTTGAAATCTCCTCTTAAGATATTTGCCCAATTTCCTTCACCATATCTCCGCACACCAGCAATCAGTTCCAAATCCTCAGCCTCAGACCACTTTTTTCTTTTCTTCCGAGGAGCCATGTTATTGCTAGCTGATCCATTTGCATCACCTCCTTCAGCAGTTGCCCCTGTAGACGTTGTCATTGCAAGGAGGGGCTGTTTCTGAACAGAAACCGGAACTGTAATGTTCATCCCTTGCATTGAACAAGGCGGTTGTGAATTTTGATGAGTTCTAGATGGCTGGCCATTGGGTATATTTATGGTCAATGGAGCCTCAACTGTTGCACCACTGCGATGAGTTGAGTCACTTGGTAAGCCAGAGGCCATTAGAACCTGACAAAAACAACCACTCCGACAATAAGCTGGCTGGATCTGTACATTAGTAAGGTCAAGTACAATTGAGATATTTTAAAAGTTCATAAAAACATGCCCACATAGAAATGTCAACCATTCTTATGTGAAAGCTCATATACCCAATTCACAACATGTCATTTGTCATTGGAGTTCCTGTGTGCACAATTGTTACAATGATGGGCATTATAAGCTGGGTTCACTTATTTGGCAATTTGGGATCTTTGTCATAATCCTTCTCCTATTAGGAAAAGGTAAGAAAGTCCATAACTATCTACATAATCCTAATGAAATATATTGTTTGGTTTACTGAACCACTGTGCGCCTAGAGTTTCTTTCTCCACTTCTTCGGGTTTTTTTTTTCCCCTTTTTCAATGATATTGTCCAGAGAGTCTAAACCCTTTCTTGTTTCCTTGCAACTCCATCTCAGTTTTAATTTTTCTGTTTCATTTACCACAATTACTCTCTAAACCCTGCTTTTTTCCTACATCCACTTTTCTCCCAAATAACCTTTCACATAAACCCTAGAACCCTAAAATTAGCCAATATCAAGTGATTTCCAGTTAGCTGTTTTCCTCTTGCAAAGTAACCCCTATTTGCTCCATTTATCTCACTCTTACAAATCCACTAACCCTAACCCCAACCCATCATACAATCAAACTTGAGGCCATCTATCTAACCTGGAAGATCTGAAATAGTAAAGCCTAAAACAAAGACTCATTGAGTATGAATTTATTTTATATACCTTCACACATGCTGCAGCTTCTGTTGAATCTTCACCACTAACAGCAGGAAAAGCTTCCAATTCATGTTCTAAATCGCTGTCATCATCCTGCCAGCAAATTTAACATCACTAAGCACAAGGAAAAGGAAAATGTTTTTGTATCCTGCAAATGAGTGGTAACTGATAGTATACTTCACCATGAGTCAAATAGCTTGCAAGTAAATGTGGGACAGACTTCTTTAACAAGACATTTGTCTTATAGTTCATCCACCTTGGATAAATTTCTGTGACAGTGACACATCTATGCACATTATAAAGTTCAAATGTTTATTATGGAACTAAAGTTAATTACCACTATATCAGGAAAACTGGAGTGTAAAGGAGCACTTCTATTATCATCCGGTAGTGTAAAAATACCACTTTATGCATAATTCAAATTCAAACAACGAGGCTGAAAAGATTAGTACACACACTGACACAACCATTACAATTCCCATTATACTCACAATCCCACAAATCCCATCATGCACGAGGACCAAAAAAAAAAAAAAAACTTCATCAACTTAAAAAATTTATGTAAAGGAATGCAGCAAGCACCAGAAACTACAACTCAAGAGAAAAAAAAAAGTGGGAGACAGACCACAGGTTGAGCCCCATTGTCGAAGTTGTCAACAAAAGCTTCACTATAAGCTAAATGGCGCCAAAGCATCTGATACTCCCTGGCATTGGAAATTCCAGTTGAAGTCTTCTCCACCAATCGATTCCAATCTATCTTTACGTCCTGGGAATGCGCCACTTCCTGCAGCAATTGCAACACATTCGCTGCCTGGTACCTATTGATTAACAATACAAAACCACTCAATAAATCCAATCCACCAAAAAAAAAATTCCCAACATCAAAACAATAAAAAAAATTTACAATTAAAAAAAAAACCAGAGAAAGCCCAACATACAAAAACCCCATTAAACCAATACACAAGTAGGGGTCAGCCTGTTCTTTTTTGTTTTCATTCAACAAATGCTTGACCGAGCAAAGTAAACATCAAGAAACATGAGATGGACCTGAAGAGGCTAATCCAAACATTCCAAATAGAAATAAAAACACATACACGCGCAATGAGCACAGAAATATTGAAATCAATGAGAGAGAGGAGAAAGAGGGACCTGTGTAAGAGATTGACTGTATCTTCTTCGGTTATATAGCTCTTCTCCGGGTCCTTGGGTTTCTCAACCATTGTTTTACTTACAGTGAATTTCAAATTGCATAATATGAAATATGGCAAGCCAAATTAGCGAAAGGAACAAACTTTAGTGGTTTAGCAAAAACCCTAAACCCTAAACCCTACAAGGAGATTAGAGAGAGAGAGAGAGAGGAGAAGGGGGGGGCTTTGACCGCAAGAGAAAGAGAGTAAGGGCAACGGAGGAAGTGATAGCGTTGAAGAGCGGAAGGAAGGGAGGAATTTTGATGAGATTTTAAGGAGAAACCCTCAAAAATAAAAAATAAAGAGAAACGGAATGCAACTGAGCAGTGAGCTAGTCGCTCTCTAGTCCAAGAGAGTGCTTTCGACCGAAAGAAACTCCTATTATTTAGATCAATTTTTTTTTTTTGTTTATTGTCATGTGATGTATTGCAGGAGAGTCTTTTCTTTTCTTATTTACTGGTCCTCGGCGCACGCTTTGCCAATTTGGTTTTTTTAATGAGTTTAATTTTGAGTGCTATTATTTTCACCTCTTTTAAGAATTTAGAATGCTAAACCCTAGATCAAAAAAACCCTCAAGCCACGTAACCCACCTATTCTACCATTTGACAAAAAGTTTTAAGAAAAATAAAAGATGAGATTGTGTTTTTTCAAATTTACATTATGAATGGGAAGATAAGGTGAGTGAAAAAATAATGAGGCGGAAATAGCATCACTTTTTAAAAATTAAAATTAAAAATTAAAGGTAAGCTTTGAAGGTAGTTATTTCTTGTTTTTATGGATAACTTCTCATATTTTTGTGGACAACTGTAATGCATGTTTCTTTTAATTTAAAAAATTGTGAGTGTATCATTTTATCCATATTTAATAAAGTGTAATTATATTAAGAAATTATGATATTCTATAATCATAAATCCTAAATGAAATGAGGAGAGTCCCACTAGAAAGTATAAAATTGAATACCAATAGACAAACAATCTTTTGTTAATCGAACAATGTGCAAAGGGTTAGTGAAGGAAATTTACCCGTGCACCCAAGTTCTTGGGTTTGAATTTCCCTTTTCTTTAATATTAACTGTCCACATATTCACTCTTTATTATTACACATTTTATATAATAAAAAAAAGCTTTAAACCTTTGTACATATCCTAGTGGTTGGTTACACGAAGCCACAAAATCTAGGCTCTTTTTGTGGTAACTAAAATGAAAACTTGGAGCACAAGAAACAAAGGATGATGATTGAAATAAGAGAAAAATATGCTTGGCAAAAAAAAAAAAGAGAGAGAAATATATGGAGTAGTACAAGCGGGGCATGTGAGACATTTTAAGGTTTATTTTTTATTTATTATTTATAATCACATCATATTTAAGGCTAGTAAGTTCCAATCTTCTCCTTTTTCTTTAACCTTGGTTATAGAAAAATAATATCGTGATGGGTGCTGGTATATCATGGTATTGATGTAAAGGAAAGTGTTGGGTGTGATTGATAGAATCTACTAGTAATGCTCCAAATCCAAACATTATTGTGTAGAATCAAATATTGCCCCTTCGGCCATGCATTCACTTCTCTTGTAAAAGTACATTACCAAGCTCATATTCCGTATCTTTCATTACCAACAAAGTTTCAATTTTTATTTTTTTATTATATAACTTCAACGGTAGAAGGAAAACTTTATTAATCCGAGTATATAACCCAAGTTTGTCTCCCATCTCTCTCACATCATATCAACCAAAATAAATAAACCAAAATATAACGGACTGCATAAAAACCATGGCAAACTATTGGTGATCTCTCTCATATAGGAAGCCAAATTTTATTCAAAGTCCACTTCATCAAATAAAAGCCGCGTGGGAATGGCCACGTCAACATTTAACGCGGTACACCACAAGGAAACTTACCTATAAGCCCTCTTTGTAACGTTTGCGAAATTGGAAATGTATTTTCAGTGTCTACCGGAAAAACCCTATATACCCTATTTGGTGAGCTGGACTGGATATATTCAATTAAAATGGACATGGGTCAAGTCTGTTGTTTGGTGAGCTTAAAATACATCACGAACTGGACATGGCTCTTGGACACCAATCCAGAATAACAAGGGACTCCAAACCCATCGATAGACATGGGTTTACAATGAATCTGAGCGCCTTGTCTCCCTTCGCCTCCTTCACGTCGTCTGTACTTTGTTATCTAATGGTTTGCCTTCTTCTCTCTTCTATCCTTTCTCTCCTCTCTCCTTTCATCTCCTCTCTCCCCTTGCATCGTCTGTACTGTTGTGATTTTTGCATCGAATTTTTTGTTTTTTATATAAAAATTGATATTTATTATTGAGTGGTGATTTCCCCACTCCTTTTTCTCCTATTTTATCCACTTACACTCCTTTTTTATAACTAAAAAAGGAGTGTAAGTGGATAAAATAGGAGTGGGGAAATCATTGCCCTTATTATTATCTTGATATGAGATTGGGTAATGGTTAGATCTTGATATAAGTTTCAGTTTGGATTCGATGCCATGGGTTCTCTTTTCGATTTGGTATTGTGAGATTTTTTGTTTTTTCCTTGTCTAAAAAACTAGGAATTGTTATTACTCAGAGGCTACAATCGGCAACAATGGCAGCTCTTGTTATTGGGTGGTTCATATTTTTTGTATGGGTAAATTACTCAAATGGTCCTCAAATTTGTATGGATTTACATTTTGGTCCCTAAATTAAATTATTAGTCCAAATTGTACATAAACTCTATTTTAATGGCCGATTTGATCCAACCGTTACATTCTGTCAATGTTGCTGTTAAATATGAGGGCAAATTAGTCATTTCATACGTTAAAAATAAATAAATACTAAAAAATAAATAAAAACTCTCTCTCTCTCTCTGCCCATTCCCCAATGGCCACCACCCTCAAGCTCCAACCCCCAAACCCATCCCACAACCATTCTCCACCTAAACCCATCCAACAACCACCCTCCATCCCAAACCCATCTCTTCATTTATAATCCGCTGACCTCTCAATTCATTCAGCAAAATCTCATCTCTATCAAATTGCCTTTTATTTCCAACGCCATCTGCCCACATTCATAAAACATTTCTTAGGCTCTAGATTTTTGTTCAACATCATCTCCAGTTCTATATTCATTCATGCATTTCATTGAACACATGAGAAGCAACCCATGATGCAGAGCATACAAATCCCCCACCCTACCTCCGCTCATTTCTTTTTTACCTTTGAACCTACCCCTAGCAAGCATTGGCTAAGAGGATCTATGCCCCAGCCATCTTGGTGGAGGTGGTCTCCGACCAACTCCTCAACACCATCATCCGAAAACTGAAGCTAAACCTGGTAGCATGCTTCAGCCTTTTCAAATTGGCTTTAAAGCAGCAAAAATTTAGGCCCAACTTCAAGTCTTATGGTATAATTGTACATATATTGTCAAGAGCTCGAATGTACGATCAAATCAGAGCGTATTTGAACGAATTGGTTGGCCTCTGCAACAATAATTATTCAGCCTTTATGGTATGGGATGAGCTTGTTAGGGTTTATAAGGAATTTACCCAGAACCCCAACTCAACAACCACCCAGACCCTCTCCCCCTCCCCCTTGATTTCCCTTTGTTGTTGAGAGACAACCCCCCACCACCCTCCTCCCCACCTCATCACCCACCAACCCCACCTCCCAAAATCACAATCACTGTCAATTTTTCACCCTCCAAGTACAAGTACCGGTTCTTCAGCCAAGACGTCGAAATTGTTGCGAGGGCTTTGGGGATTTATGCCATCAATACCAAGGCCAACACTCCCACCATTTTTGCCATTGCCCACCTCCTCAGGAGCTTTCCTCTTCCTATGTGTCTCTTCAGCAACCTTCAACAACCTTTGTTAGTATTATTTTGGACATTAATTGTTGGGTTGGATGGTTGAAGGCCGTTGACAAACCATCTTTTTTTTTACAAGAGGTCTGTAGCGAATTGGGGAGAAGAAATCGAAGGGAGGGGGTTTGGGTCTCATGATTTTTTTTCTCTTTTTCTTCAATTATTTTATAATTTTATATTTATTTTAACCCTATTTTATTTGTTAATTATGAAAAGTCGTATTTGCCCCTAAAATTTGATTACATTTAACATAAAATGTAACGGTTGGATCAAATAGGCGATTAAAATAAAGTTTATGTATCATTTGGATTAATAATTTAATTTAGGGACCTAAATGTAAATCAAATACAAGTTTGAAGACCATTTGAGTAATTTACCCTTGTAAAAAGTTGGGCATCTTTCTTCAATCTCTGCCAAAAAGTTAAAAATTTTCATTTGGTTCCAATTTGAAAAAGAAAAAACTCTACATGCATAAGAGAACCCTCTTGCATTCAGTGTCTGATCTAGTCCATTGTTTGGTGCAAAAGTGAACTGCACTGGACTTAAATCCCAACCAATCCAATCCAATACTTACAAGTCAATCCTAACCAGGCCAGCCTACCAAACAAGGCCATATAGTTTGCTTTTCCAGAAAATTTTACCAGTAAAAGTTAGGGAGACTTTGGAAAAACACAAAGGAGAGAGAAATTTTGTAAAAGAAGCCAAAATGGACAAAATTGCCATTATTTATTTTTGGATTTCCTAAGGAATGCTTTATATTTGCGTGTCTTTGATTTGAAAGTTTAGAGGTTTTTCTGTCTTTTTTTAAAAAGCTTTGGGTTTTTCCAAAAGTGAAATTTTTTTTGTGGCTAAAACCTAAATTTACTTAAAAGTTAATGATTTTGGACTTCTAGAAAAAGTTATTAAAATGCTTAAATTGTAAATACTATTGGCAAAAGCACTGAATAAAAGCAATTTAGCTGCGCTTTTTTATTTATTTATTTTTTAAGCTACTCAGGTGACCCAATCTCAATCCTAGTAAATCATACCAGATCAACCAGAGAACTAGAAAGTAAACAATGAAATTAAAAGGGAATTAATACATGCCTCAAACTTAAGCTTTATTTTAATTATCATAATTTACTAAAATATTTCATACAACATTATCCAAAACAACCTACAGCAGTTCTTGTCTGTGTTTTGAGATCTTTGTGACTAGCTAACATGTAGTTTCCTAAAAATTAAATAACCCACCTATTTAAAAAAAAAAGGATGAAAAAATAATAATGGCAGACCGAGATTGATCCGATATACTAAAACCTTTTAGGGAAACGAGGTTTCAGTTTCCAACAGTCTTGTCCAAATCTGCTGCCATAACTTTGAAGGGCAGAGATCCAGCTGCTGAAGCCTGACCTTGAAGATATATATAAAATTCCAATGTTCTAAAAGATGATACAAAACAAGCCACAAAGGGAAGGCGATATCACCAGACATCTCTAAGATACCGTCCATCCATCTGAAGTTGTTTCACTATAGCCTCT